CCCGGTCCAATACTTAGAGAATATTGGACTGGTAATACAGCATTTTGATTGGTTGATTTTAGTTATTGGCCCTTTGACTTCTCGAGTCGTGTAATAATGAGCTTTAAAGCCTTTGCTGCAATAGCTGCACTTATAGAGAACATTCCCCCGCTATGGTTTGTGGTGCTGTGACATACCACACTTGTGAGCAAAGCATTCATGGCATTGAGTACACTTGTATGGTTTCTCCTCACTATGAACTTTGAGGTGTACTTTCAAATTTCCAGGATTATTAAGACCTTTACTACAATAAATGCACTTGTGGGGTCTCTCACCATAGTGAATTTTAAGGTGGGTCTGTAAAATTTCCAACCACTTTAACACTTCTGTTGCAACGGACATATTTGTGAGGTCTTTCAGCACTGTGAACTCTGAGGTGATGCAATAACCCCTGGGGTTGTTTGAAACTCTTTTCACCCTAGGTACACTTGTACGGTTTCTCCCTACTATGAACTCTAATGTGTGATATGAAATTCCCTTTGTGATCGAAGCCTTTGCTGCAATGAGTGCAGGTGAAACGTTTCTTGCCATTGTGACCTGTTGGTTGAGATTTAAACTTCCCTTTGTTGGGAAAGCTTTCCTCTCATTGAGAATATTTGTAAGGTTTCTCTCTATGATGAAGTTTTATGTGTTGTAGTAAACTTTGTGAGTGACAGAAGCTCTTGTCACACTGAGTACACTGGTTAAGGTTTTTCATCACTGTGAACTTTAATTACCATCGCAATTTAAACTACATGATTGCTTGAACCAATTGTCACTCTGTGTACTTTTGTAAGGTTTATCACCCCTGTGAATTTTCGAGTGGTTTGTAAGATTTCTCTGGTACTTATAGCGCTTGCCACAATTGGCGTATTTGAAAATCTCTCTCGTTTGATTTTTCATATTGATATTTCACTCCAACTAATGATCTCAACAACCTTGATAGAAAGAATGGAAAAGCACATTATGTTACAGTTGTCAACGAAACACGACTTCCAATGGGAGATGACAAAATGTGGAGCCCTACTCCATGGAGTACCCTATGGAGTACTTAAATGGAGTACCCCTAAAACTCATGTATTGGTCAAATAAAATACTTTATAAACATGGTAAATCGTATAAATGTACACATCTTAATACATTTTGAGCTTGCCAGCTCTCCAATTTGTCACAGTTTGATACAGTCCAGTTTTTTGGGGGGGTGGAGGGCTCTCAGTGTTACTGGTTCCTTCATTTTGGTTTTACTGCTGTGTAATGAGTCCTTTGACCGGAAGACAAAAAACTCCGTATGATGAACAAAACCCACGGTTTCGAGTTTTGCATGAGGTAAAATATTTAAGCTTACTGCATTTTCCAAATCAACTGCCCCAGTAAGATGTGTTTGCTGACCCATCAGTGTTTTTTTTTTTTGCTGTTTCTTTATCTGATCTCAATTTTATTAGGCTACAAATAGATGGCGAAGAGAAGGTCAGTTTAAACGCATTAACTACATTTTTTAAGTCCTAGTTTATCCTCATCGCTTCACACAATTAAGAAACCCATGAGGCCTTGTGTTGATTACAAATCATATGATCTTAAGTGTACTTTGCTGTTTCAAACAAACTGCAGAGTAATCAAACCATTTAGTCACTTTATTCAAATAAATAACTAATTTATACACAGGTGGCCCAAGCTCTTTGTGAAAGGATAAAATTATAAAGCTTTGTGTGGTAGTTAAGGTCCCACTCTCTAACTCTGTAAATAACGTGAGTGATGGACTTGTCTATCACAATTAAATACTGCTGTGGAAATTCCACACCACACCTGGCAAGTATAAGCAAACAGTTGCCATAATAGTAAGTATTCCCTTTGCAATTAGTGAGCGATCAACATTATACTGTAAATTTTTTTTTCTCTTTCCTCTATTTACCCCTCCTGTTCGGGGAAGCATTGCATATGGTCTAAGGTAATAAAGACCCAGTTAACCCCAATTGGGTTGGTATGTATTTAAGCAAATAAACTTTAACTTTCAGATAGTCTTGTTCATGTTATTTTTGTTCTCTAGCCATTTCATTAAGTTTTAGCAGAGCTCTCATACCATTCTAATTCTTCATAGTGCAGGCATTAGTGCGATGAGTCAAGCTCAGCTAAAACTCAACCAAATGACCTAAAATTGCTATCAAAGAACAAAACAAAAGTAACACAAATAACTCTATACAGAGGTTGAAATTTGTTTGCTTAATTATTTAGAGAGTTAAAGAGCCCTCAAGCACCTCCCTTGTGAAGTTACCAGAGCACATTGGCATCCCTCCAAGAATTCCCTTCAGTGCACCAACATCACATTTTTTTACTGCTTTTTCTCTTATTCACGTGATAGACTTAGCTGAAAATGGGGGACTGCTTATAGTCTAAAAACTCCCATACACAGCTTTATGATATTATCCACTTACACAGAGCTTGAAGTCCCATGTGACTTATCTTAAAACAAGAAACTGAACATTTTCAAATCCCTCCCTGCAGAAGGTATTCCTCACTTAACTAAACTAATTCAACAATGAAAGAACACAAATAACCACCATAGTATGGATACTTTACCTTGATGGCAACTGTAACAAGACAATTCTTTTTTAAGTACCAGTAAATCAAAACTCAGTAGCCATGGTCTGGTTATTCTGAGGGCAATTACAGAACTACAGGTTTAACTTGACTTCATTTTTCTCAAATTAATTTTGATGTTGATAATCTCCACCGATACATTGACCAACTATCAACTCAGTCTTAACTGAGTATCGACCAAGTATCAACTAAATATTAATGGAGTGTAAACCTAGTATCAGCTGGCTATTAACCAAGTGTTGACTGAGTATTGAATATTGGTGGAGTATCCACCGACTCTTGACCAATATATTGACTGATATACCAGCTAAGAGTACCTATAGAAACATGATCCAATCTGTTTATACCAAAAAAAGAATAATAATAATATTAGTTTGAGGTGATAATAGAGTCTGTAGTTTTAACAGATACAAGCAAGTTTTGAATTTAGAAATTCAGCAAGACCTAAAAGAGTGGCATGCAAACACTGAGTGAATTTACAATCATCATTAAAAAGAGAAAGGAATTTTGGCAAAACATGCCATCACTGAGTACATGGTAAAATTCCACACTTCAGTAATATTGCTTATGGTTAACTACTCAATAGTAACTAAACTAAGCAGTTGAAGATAACATGAACATCACATGCTAAATTATAGTGTTACCAATAAAAATACCATGATCTAAGTACAGTAATAAAGTAACAACAAACTCAAATGCAACATGCTACTTGCGGGCCCAAGCATTGTAATTTTCTTATTAAGCTTAAATAAAATTTCTTGTTGTTGTTGTTATGATTATTTACTTCTCAGTTCCAAAAGTAAGAGTAAATCACCAGATTCTTCAGCACACATTATCAAGGTTATCCAAGGGCTGTACTTAACAGGAAGAGATATCAACCCTCAATAACACTTTTGCTCCAGAATGATTAAAAAAGTATCAGTTTACTCTTTTTTCATACCATGTTCATACATGTGGTGAAGTATGCCACAACAATTGTGACAAAATTCACCACACATCCAACAAGTGAATTTCTCTCTGTCTAAAGATAGTTGTTTACACTTGTGTCTCTTTAAGCTCCTCTGATCCTTAAACCCTTTGCTGCAATAGCTGCACTTGTGAGGCCAATTCCCATGGTATGATCTGTTATGCACTATCAGGTTTGACTTTTCAGTAAAGCATTTGTCACAATGAGAACACTTGTAAGGTTTCTCACCACTGTGAACTCTGAGGTGTATTTTCAAATTTCCTGCTTGATTAAATGTTTTGTCACAATGAGTACATTTGTAAGGTTTCTCACCACTGTGAACTCTGAGGTGTGCTTGCAAATGTCCTGTTTCTCTAAATGTTTTGTGGCAATGAGTACATTTGTAAGGTTTCTCACCACTGTGAACTTTGAGGTGTCTTTTCAAAGTTCTTGCTTGATTAAATGTTTTGTCACAATGAGTACATTTGTAAGGTTTCTCACCACTGTGAACTCTGAGGTGTATTTTCAAATTT